AGGTCCTTAAACCCTTCCACACTCATAAATTAAATGCAAACACATTGGTTAGAGGCATTGTTCTGATCTATGAAGCATTATACAAAGGATTAATCCATTTTTGGCAAAAAGATAACAATGCCATTTACATAAAGCATGCTTTATGTCAAATTGATTATATTGAGCCATACACCAAGCCTTTTTCTGCAAACAAAGCTCCCTAATATCAGGCAAAGTTCACCAACTTTGTGCAGCTAGGATACAAGCCTGTACAACCTTGGCATGGTCACTTCTCACTTTTTACTTCAAAACCAAGTAATTGTGCAAAAGGTCAACAACTCTTCAATCTGATATAACCAAGTCTTGGTAACATTTCAAACAAGTTTTACACATTACACTAAGCCAGAAACACGAGCTCACCACCTCTCAGACACCCTTGTACACCAAAAACCCCATTTTCTGCCAAAACAGGACAAGCCCTGCAGAACTTAAGCCAAAACAAAATCCACTCGTGCGTTTTGCTTGAAACCAATTCCAACACACTCCATACAACATACCTAAACTATCCCATCCATTCCCAAGCCAACGTAACTCCATTTACACACTTCACCATTTTCAAGTTCTGAGTTTGCAGGTTGAGTTCTACAAGAAGATTCAGGCAAGTTCAAAGCAAGCTAATCATTAGGAAAGCTCAAAGGAACTTCAAGCAAGCTCACAAGTATCTAAGGCCTCACTCACAACCCCTACATTGCCATACTCGAGCTTGACTGAAACAGGTATTTCTCAAACTTCTATCTCCTTATTTAGGAATCATTAGGCTTAGGTTTGTGAAGAAAAAATGTAGTCCTCATTGCCCTTGAGCTGTACATATGCATAGAATTCAAATATGTTAACTAAGCTGGGAGTATTTGATAGTTGAACTTTCTGAAAAAACTAGGTCAAGATTTAGGGCCAATGAAATTCTCTCTGGTCTTTGAGAGTTAGATTAAGTTTTTTTACATGGTTAGAATCGTGTGATCAAGAGCTATAACTTTCATGTTGCAAGTTTTTGTTTTTGAGCACGTATGCAGGAGTTCTAGATTTGAACATGGCGCGTGCATTTCTTTGTCACAAGGTCAGGGATAAAGTGGAAATGGGCCGGGCTTGGCTTTGTCCTGCTTTTTGCACCCCTAGCTTGCTTTCTGCACCCCCTTGGCCCATTTGATTATTTTTCCATATTTTTCATTTCTTTTTTTTAGTTTCTGGTTTTTATTTATTTTCTCCAAATATTAAAAATCACTAAAAATATTTTCTTAAATTTTCACATTTTATTTTATTTTTTTAATTTTATTTTAGGCATAATATTTAGTTTATTAGGTTTAATACATTTATTTTCTTAAATAAAAACTTATAATTAATACAAAAATATTACATATTTTATTTTATTATATTATACACTTAAAAATAATATTGTCATACATATTTTATTTTTTAACATTTTGTATATATTTTATTTTATTTTCGTGTACATAAATAAATAATATAATATATATATATTTTCTTAAAACAAAATTAGGGTTTCTTCACCCTTTCCAAAATTAATCATATTATTTTCCTTTTTTAAGACATTAAATAATTTCATTTTTGCATACATAAAAATAAATACAAAAAAAGATTTTTGCATATTTATATTTAATTGCACATTTAAATATTTGTCAATTTATTATTTGTACAATGAATTCAATATGGTTGTAATAGTTTTAGGGCTTTTATTTTGTGCAAAATATCCCCTATTCAAACTTGTATCCCCCTCCCCATATCAATGTTGTAATAGCTTAGATTTATTTTACGCATTTTTATTGCTTTAATATGCCATGATAGTAAGATTAGGGTTTGTATGATAACCAAAAATCAAACAAATAGCTAGACCTAATACAAGACAAAAAATGCATGAAAATGACAACACAATGCACACAAGCACCCCTAGGGTTTCATCCACTTGTTGCCTTTAAAATGGCCATGGTATGCATGCTAGGTATCTTGGCAAAACAAAACAAAAACAAACGATCATAGTCCCTCGATGACGCTATCTTGGTTGCCTATACAAAAATGATCTAGACCCTAAAAAACTTGCTAAGATACTTAGCACCATTGCTATCATGGTCATACGATGACCCACGCCTGTCCCGTTTAACATCCAAACACAAGGTTGTTTACCAAATATAATGGTAAAACAACAATGTCAAAGGGTTAAAAATGTGTAGGAAAAATCTTTGAGTAGGGTAGACAACTCCTAGTTACTTGATCAAACTTGCAAACATCCTTGCTATTTTCAAAAAAAACACATCACAACACAATTTCAAAACATTTCCCAACAAACTTTCAAACATTGAAACATTTTTCAAAAGACAAACAACTTTGTATACATTCAAACAAGAATCATTACAAAGTTTGCCTAGACAAAGGCCTCTTTTCAAAATACTTTCAAAGTCGCACACAAAAGCACCATTTCAAACAATTGAAAAGCAAAAGCAAGTGATCTAAAACAAGTAACTAAGAGCCCATGGAAAACCATGGATAAAAAGGGTGTTAGCACCTTCCCTTTTCATAATCTACCCCCCGAACCCAAAAACAATCTCAAAGGTCTTTCCTGTGCTTTTTGACCTTTCCTTTGGATAAAATAAAAAGTAGGTGGCGACTCTTGCTAAACTGAAACATTTGCGAACACAAACGTAAAACCTCAAGTCAGTTCTCCCACCGCATCACAATATGTACTAAAGGTTTAATCACACCTGTAAAACGAGGTTCTAAAGGTTCCCAGAGTCTATGATCCTCTTTCAAATATTACCAACGTCTCAATTACTCGGTAATTGGCAATATTCTCAAGAGAAACTCGTCCAAGTGTAGCATCGCGTGACAACTACTTCCAAATTACTCCATTATAGTCTCCTCACTACACCTAAAAGGCCAAGATGGGTTAGGGTTCTACGGTTCTCAACTTTTCTGGCTCCCAAGTCAAAAGCAATAATGTCTTCCCAATTACTCGGTAAACAAATACTATGTTCAAAGGGGCTTTCACTGAGTGAGGGATTTCATGCCTCCTTCTTCGGGATTACTCCCTCAAAGTTAACATGACTATACCACCCGTCCTATTCCTAAGTGTAACTTAGTCCGGGTATAGGACTTGTCCTTTATAAATATCATTAACACCCAAATAACCATAATATATACATATAATTAAACAAACAAACAAATAAAAATAAAACAGATAAGACAAAATAGGCTTAACCCACTTAGGGATGGACCAGCAAGAGGTCAATCTGTCCCCAGTAGAGTCGCTAATTCTGTAGCGATAAAAAATGTAGCGGGGTAAATCATAGATCGAGCTATTAATTAACTCGACTCACAAAAGCAAGAGTCGCCACCGTGCTTTATTATTTCCAAGGGAAAAGAGGGAAATAAAACCCTAAAATATGCAATGTAAAATAATACTTAAAAGTAATGAAAATACAAAGCGTTTTTTAAAAGAGATCTAGAGTTTGGGGGCTGGTTATGCAATGGGAAGGTATTATCACCCAATACATCTGCGGTACTCCACAGGAACCTTTTGAAATATCTGTTTTTTTTTTAATTTTTTGTTTGATTAAAATGGTTCGTTTGGTAAAAATGGTTGGTTTGGCTAAAAATGATTTGTTTGGGATGATATTTTGAAGATACGATGACCTAGTGTCGAAGTTTTGATTTAAAAGGTGTGAGTTTGAAAATTGAATCTTTTAGGAAAATTGACTTAAGTTTGGCAAAATAGTAAATAGAAAAAATGAATGAAGGTATTTGCACGATCGTAAGTATATTTTTGATGACATGTAGTCAACAAAATTAAAATATTTCCCTTGAAATTGAGACGAACGAAAGATACACAGATTAAGTGATCGAGAATAAAGTTAATTAAAACGAAAATTGAACAATTAAATAAATAACGAAAATTAAATTATACTAGCATGCATTTTCAAACAAAAATTAAATAAAAGATTAGTTTATAATCATGTATTTAAATAAACAAAAATTAAATAAAAGATAACAAGTATTAACATGTATTGGAATAATTAAGTAAATAGAAAAATTAAATAAAGACTAATTTAAAAAGACAAATAAAATTAACTAAAAATGTTGACCAAACCAAAAATTAAATATCAAGATTTAAATAAATTATAAAAACTAAGCTAAATGGTTGAGTTTTATCTAAAACTATATGATTATTTAATTAATTAAAAAAAACCTACTAACTAATTAACAATAAAACTTAAAGAAACTAATTAGTTAAAACAAAGGGTGGTGTTCAAACAAAGTAGGGGTGTTTGAGTAATGTTTGAGCTCAGTTTATTGAAGAGGGAGGCCCAGGACGTAAGAAAGAAAGAACAAAAAATTATTTAAAAAAATGGTCCTAGACAGGGTCAGGTCCAGACCCGATTTGAGAATTGAACAAAGAAAAAAAGTAAACCCTAAAATGTAATAGAGGTGTCGATGAGCTTATGTCAAATTCCAAACTCCAACCCTCTCTTCTCCCTCTCTCTTGAACTCTATATGCGTCCTTCTCAACCAAATTCACTTTGTACGCACATCTTCATCACTAATCCTCTCTGCATCCTCTATGCTGCGAGCTTCATGGGTTCTTTGATCTTCATCATGTTGCTGTAACAATAACTACTCGTGCATCATCCTTATCATGTATCTGAATAACACGAAGGTCTATGGGTTTCTATTACTACAATTGTTTCTTCATAAGCTCAGTCAACCTTTGCGCCAATGTCTTCAGAGTAATCTCCATAAACCTCCATAAATTTTCCAAGATCAAACTTGGGAGCTTTAAGGATCTTCACTTTACAGATGAACACATTCTACAATGGATAAATACCAATGGTAGCCTTCTCAATTTCTTTCCAATCATCTCAAGAATGAACTTCCTGACCAATTCCTTCAAATCACAAGATGATGCTTGGTTGGTCATGATATCTCTCATCTTCCTATGGATCTACTTAACTTGGCTAGACTGAGCATAACATGTTCTCTTTAAAATCCAGCTTAATGGTGTCGTTTTCCCTGATGACAGGGTCTGGGTAGCGGATTATGCGACGAACGGAGCAAAAAAGGAAGATTAACATAGATAAAGAGAGAAGATTATGTTGAAGAAGCAGAGATGATGGTGGTTTTGGCAGTGGTTGGTGATGAATAAGTGAAGTTTCTTTCTCGGTAACACCAGAGCGATTATTATCCTCACGCATCTCAAACACTTCCTACTTCCCCACTGTAAGAAGAACTCTGGTTCTGTTTCCTTGCACGTTCTTTGGTTCCTCTCTTTTGTCTCCATTCTAAGGTCTTAAAGGGTTGCCTCCAAATTTAAGATCTATGCAGCAAAAGAAAGACAATCTTTTGCAGAAAACTTATGATGAAACAAATTTGGATTTAGAGAAGAAAGTTATGTATGCATTAACAAAGACATATCTTCTTGTTTGTTGTTATATTTGCAAACTTTGTTCAGAAAATGTTGTGTATTTATCCTTATTATGAAGTGATGAGAGAACTAGAGAGAATCAGAGTCGTTGGATTTTTAATAGGAGGGTTAGGTGATCGATCAATGTCGAGTGATATACGAAGAGGTTCGGTGGCGGGGCGTGTCAAGAAATAGGTATGCTAAAGAAAACTGTCTACTGTGTTTGCTCTTCAATTCACCTACTTTCAGAAATTTTAGGAGCCAAAACGCACTGTTGGGCATACGTTTAGGTAAACTGCACCGTGTATTAAGTATTCAAGTTCCATCTTGTAAAATTGATTGAAGCCCATAAATAAACTTATCCCCGGGTAGACCATAATTTGATCTTGGCTAACATTTTGGACCTGACACGTCTTGATTTTCTGTTTATAATCATTTACAATATAGCAGAGCGGGAAATGGATAATCTTTTCAGAGTAAATATGTGCATACTGAAGAGGTGAAACACACTCATCAGTAAACAAGTAATCTATGTAAGTAGTTCCAGTAGTACCAGGAAATCTCATATATGAAACTTGAATTGATGTAGGTTTTAACAGTTATAATTCTGGCTGCAGGTTTAGTTCCATTTGACTTTATGCCAGGGGACTACAGTTGCCTTATCAATTGAAGATCGTAGATGGGACATAGTGCTTATGGGATAGTGGAAGGATCGAATGGCAGCAGTGGTATCCATGGAAGAGGACACGAGGGGGATTGCAGACAAAGGAAATGGAAGAGGAAGTTGAAAAGAAGAGGTTGAGATTTTCACAGTAAAAACATTTTGAAAGGATGGCGATTTCCGTACGAGATTTGTGTACTTAGAAAATATTTAAAGGTAATCTTTTTATCTCTAAACCTTGTGTTATTTACTATACATTTCAGTCTACTATTTTTTATTATCATACTTACTTTTAATTATTTTAAAAAATCAACAAATGCAGCAACACCAAAAAATATAGCAAAGAAGGTATGATAAAGCAAGCATCGTATGGCAAAAAAAGTGGCGCAGAAGAAGATTCAGACATGGATATAGGAGAAAGTTATGCATAAGTAAATAGAGAGGAAGAAAAAATACCTATCGGAGTCTCTATGATGGGGCTTCTAAAAAGAAGTAAGTTTCTCTCCTTGATAAGTTCCTTTTTTTGTGTGTCTTTCTTCTCTACATAAGGTCCTTTTTATAGGCACATCGGAGTGAGATTTGGAGGCAAAACTGATAAGTTTTTGAATTGTTTTTGCCTACTGTTTTGATACTTTTTTCACACAATTTTCTTTAGCCATTTTGATGCAAATTTGTGGTTGTTATGATGCAGGTTGGAGCAGACTGTATAGAGCAGTTTTGGACTGATTTGTAGGCTGTTTTGGACTGATATGATGTATTTTTTAACAGTTTTGGGACTGTTATGGTTGCTATTTTTTTTACTGTTTTTGTAGCATTTCCACAATACTTCTTCGGGTTGTTTTGCTGCATTTTTAGGCAGCAAAAATACAACAAAATTGAAATTTTTAATGCATTACAACAAGGCTGGAAAATGGGCTGCATTACATCAACTTGTTAGGCAGAATTTTAAAATATTAGAAATAATATTTTGTACAAACTTGTAACTTTTCTTTGTAACTTTGTAACAATAATTCCAATAAATTTGTAACATGAATGGAACTTGTCTTAAGTATAATTCCTCAATTCTTTTACAATTGTAAACAACTTTGAATCTTGATATGTCTTGATAAAATTCAGATTCTTCCATTTGAATTTGGAAAATAATTGATTGATACTTGAATGTATTGTTGAATGATGATTAAACCAAAAATGTAAGCCTTAAGACTTGAATCTTGCATTTTGTACCAGAGATCCAAATAAACTACATGAATTGATCTTGTGCCATCATGTATTTATTCTTGTGATGAATGACAAGTTTGAATCAAATTTCTTTTTCCAACATCTTCTTTAATAAATGCTTCATGTGAATTCAAATAGTCATGATGTAAATCCACCAAAATAATCATACAAAATAATCTTGAATAAATATCTAATGCGATGAACGATTATTCTTGAATGAGATCTCTTGGTAGCTTCTATTAAATTAACACTTGAATTCAAATAAAGAAAATTCCAAGTATTCCGAATAAATTCTTCCAAAGAGATCTTGAATTTAATCAACCCACTTTAACGAAACTCAATCCATGCCATGTAAGTATAAGAAACCAAACCATACTTAAAAGCTTTGAATAATCACTAGAAAAGGAATTTGAGGCGAAATGCTATCGCGTCCAGAAACTCTCAAATCATGACAGACATCCCATAAAGGCTTTTTGTGGCTTTCTAAACACAATTGTCTTCAACTCTTTAAAGAAAATTTGCAGATGATTTTTGGTCGAAGCGTTTGGAATTGACTTGCATAGCCTGATCTTTCTTGTATTTCAAGGCAATGTGAAACACACATGAACCAATGGAAGTAGAACTTTCACTGTTCTTTCTGAATACTTTCAGAGACACTTGAGGCCATCTGTTGGATAGAGCGTGGAAATAAACACACGATTCTCTGAAAGTTCTTTTGATGAACCAGTCTTTGAGAATCAACGATCGACTGCACTTATGTCCTGAGACTTGAAACCTTAATTGAGGCATGGTGTCTTATGCTCTTCTTTCAGACCTATTTTCTGCACATGAAATAAAAAAAAACAAAACATACACTCAGTTCTTGATTAGTGGTTAGTCATTCATAAGATAAAATGCTCACAACACTCGCTAATCTCTGCACAGTCAAAGCTCGAAGGTAAAATGCTCGAAACCGACCATATTTCACGACCTTGATGTATATATAAAACAATGCAAATGAAGATGGGATCTTAGGTCAAAAATTGGGGCATGACAGAGGTATCAGAACTTAATCCGAGTCAATAGAGCAATGCATAATGATGTTCTCAAAATAAACGAGATTATGCTATATGCATTTTGTCATGTATATGCTAGGATGTATGAATGTGAAATGTTATTAAAATGTATCCTTGTCTGGGAAAATAAATCTCTAACTATTGTTATGGATGAAGAATATGTGTATCTCCAACTTTGTCTAGAATACATCCGCTAGGAATTCTTATTTGTTGTTTAAGGAAACTCTATAGAGGATGTTGACTTCTGCTTGACGAGTAGAGTTTTAGGAATCTTAGTTGTCCATTGCTCTACTGGGTAATTTAGTTCTTATATACCCTGACTGGGGATAAAAGAGATGATTAAACTTCTGATTTGTCTGGGGAGGATGAAATTACTATTATCTGGTTGGATTCCAGGTTTTATAGTAACTCTCTGGGGATAATATAAACTCTATTGGGGAAGAGGAGTTTCGTCAGTGATTTGTAGTAGTCTAGAGATTATACTTAAGCTGGGGGATTGCAATCTATTGGGAAATAAACCCTGTTGAAAAAAGTATTCTGGCGACCTTACTAGGAAAATGAATTCTTCTGGGGAAGAACTTTTTCAATGTTTCTTTTCCAGTTTTTGGAAGACCAAACTTGGCCGGGGAAGAGAATTTCCAAGAGATATGTTAATTTGAACTTCAAGAAAGAATTTGTGAGAATGTATGGATTTTCTCTGTGGGTATTTATGAGTGTGAGTGTTACCCTGGCTCCTAGAGTAAGCACTTATTCTTGTTCTCATACATATATTTGTTACCAGTTAATCATGTTCAAATGCATATGTTCATTCAAATTTAGTCATTGGACATTTTTGCAATAAAAATGAAAAAAACAAAAAGTTTGCACTTCAAAGTATATTTGTATTGATAATTTTCCTATAAACAAGACGATTTTGTAAAAAAGAGACGAAAATCCTAGTAAGAGGAGGTCGTCGTGAAATGAAAAGAAATACAAGGTGAAAACAAAAATGTATAGCCATGTGGAAGTGATCTCACTGGGTGCGGGAAATCCTCATCGTCCATACTGGTTAACATCATAGCACCACGAGAGAATACTTTCTTGACTACAAATGACCCTTCGTATGTGGGAGTCCATTTTCCCCAGGGATCACCTTGTGGTAGAATAATGCGCTTTATTACCAAGTCGCCAGCCTGGTATACTCGAGGCTTAATCTTCTTGTTAAATGCCATGATCATCCGTTTTTGATACATTTGACCATGACAGACAACAACCAGTCTCTTTTCATCAATCAAATTCAACTGATCTAACCTAGTCTAGATCCATTCGTCCTGGCCTAACTCTTCTTCTCTCATAATCCTTAAGGAAGGAATTTGAACTTCGACAAGCAGGATAGGTTCCATGCCATAGACTAAAGAGAATGGGGTTTCCCCAGTTGATGTTCGTGTCGAGGTACAGTATCCATGAAGAGCAAACAGCAGCATCTCATGTCAGTCTTTATAGGTCACCACCATCTTTTGCACAATCTTTTTTATGTTCTTGTTTGCCGCTTCCACTGCGCCATTCATCTTAGGTCTGTATCGAGAAGAGTTGTGATGCTTGACTTTAAATTGCGTGTAGAGTTTAGTAATCATAGCATTGTTGAGGTTGGTACCATTGTCAGTGATAATCCTCTCAAGTGTGTCGTACCGATAGATGAGGTTATGCTTGATAAACCGGGCTACAACATTCTTGGTGACTGAGGCGAATGAAGCAGCTTTGACCCATTTGGTGAAGTAGTCAATGGAGATGAGGATGAAACGATGTCCATTAGACGCGATGGTCTTGATTTCTCCAGTCATGTCAATTCCCCCACATTGCAAATGGCCACGGAGCAGA